TTTTTATCACTGGTCTCCTCCTACTGATTCTAAGTGCAAACAATCTAAAAGCTCCCCTTAGGCTGAATTTGAGGATTAAAATGCCATATTAAAAAGTATATGATACGGTTTTATTGTTTGATTTATTATTATTTCTACTAGTGCTGAAAACCTATATTCTATCTAATTATTTTGATTTAAACTACAATGAATTACTACTGTCACTATTTAATATTGAATGCCACTTTGTTTTATAGTCTACATAATTTCTGAATGGAAATTCCCATATTCAAATGCTCACAATTCAACTCTTTTAATTTCAATGAACAGGAGATTTTAGAAAATTAGAAGAGCAGAGCCAGTTGTGGTGGCTCCTGCCTGTAATCCCAGCAGTTCGGAAGGCCAAGGCAGGCAGATCATCTTAAGTCAGGAGTTCAAAACTGTCCAACATGGCAAAACCCCATCTCTACTAAAAATACAAAAATTAGCCAGACGTGGTGGTGGGTCTCTGTGGTCTCAGATACTTGGAAGGCTGAGTCAGGAAAATCCCTTGAACCCAGGAGGCGAAGGTTGCAGTGAGCTGAGATTGTGCCACTGTACTCCAGCCTGGGCAACAGAGCTAGACTTCAACCCAAAAAAAGAAAAAAAAAAAAGAGTAAAATAAAATTAAAATAAAAATAAGAGAGAGGGATCAACTGAAGTGTTCTCCATGCCATTTTTCCATGTTAAAATAACTCTCCAACAACATGAAGATTTTATTTGTTTTTTTTTTTTAATCTTATGATTTCATGTGGGGAGCAGCACTGGTGTCAGTATCTCTGGGTCCTGAGGTTGCACTGCTCACTTGTTTTGGAGATAGACAAATAATGATGGTAAAGAAATACACAATGGCAAAGTCTACAGATAACCCTCTACAGGAAATGATAGGTCATAGTGTCTGAGAGTTATAGGTAATGCCCTCAGCTCTATGAATAAACTTTCCTGAGGTTGATGGGCTGATGGGGAAAGTGATTCTTTCCTGATGGTGGGTTTTATTTAGACCATTGATTAATGTCATTAATACTGGTAATAAATTCCTAGGTGTAACGAAAATACCACACTTTTGCTAAATAGATATGGAATTATATATTAACTATAATAAAGTTACGGGCTTCTGAACCAAAAATCAAAGGAAGGAAATACAAAAATATGTATATTCAAATATGTAAACTTATTTATCACTACGTAAGTGAAAACATAGGCCAACACACATATCAAAGTAAAAGTGATGTCTGTCATGCTTCTTTGAGAAATAAAATAATAAGAATTACTAAAAAATTTATTTCCTTAAGAAAGAAAATATTTACATAGAGGGACAAGAAGTTTCAGGTTTCTGTGGAAGAAGAATTTTCTAAAAATTTGACATTAACACAACCCTTCTGATAACTGTATGTCCCCCATATGTGACAAAATTAGACTTGTATTTCCAACTAAGCCTAAAGTAATTTAAGCTTCAGTTGTTCTGCTATATCAAAACTGTGTCTTCTGACCATTACAATGGTTAACATGGGTAGAATATTTTCTACCTACCACTTTATGTTAAATTTCCTAGCTCACTGTAACCACAGAAAAACACCTATTCTTTTACAGTGTCTTCTTTCTCTCTGTCACATACATAATCTCACTCTCTTTCTCTCTCCCTCCCTCCCATGGGCTCTTTCATGCTCTCTTTTCTCCTAAGGTAGTATATCGCCTTAATGTGCATAAATTTTACTCCAGGAGTTGTTAAATTACAGATTATGGGGCCCACCTGCAGAGTTTCTAATTCAGAAAGACTGCCTTGTGGCCTAAGAATTTTCATTTTTAACAAGCCCCTCAGGTGATTTTAATCCAGTTAGCCATGATGATATTTTAGGAAAATATTCTCCAGACTATTTTCTGGTACACACAGACTTAGCCCCAGCTCTCCTTCTAGTATTATTTCAGTCACCTCTAGTGCACTTGCTAATTTCTGGCGTCTAATTTGCTTAAGATATTCCCATATGCCATGCACTTTTCATGAATACTTTATCTTTTATTGCCTGCCTATTCCATTTTCCAGAGTGCCACCTTACCAAGGCAAATCCTTCCCTCTTGTCAAGCCCTCCTCCTGTTGTTACAGCTCTAATTCTCTCAGCCTTAGCCACCTACTTTCCCAAGATGCAAGACTCATCAGTAATGAACTTCCTCAATTTTCTGTTTACTTTGTCCTCTCCAAGTGGCTGTTTTTACTAGCTCTTAGCAGATTTTTTAAAACATAAGTTATAGAAAATAAAAACTGCATCTACATGTTTTCAAGGTTAGCCTTCTCACCCATTTTTTTAAAATCTTTTATTTGTGTGTTTTCCCAGGGATCTTTCTGAATCAGTTTCACATAGGTTTGCATTTAACAAATCATAGGTGAACCTATTTTGGGGCAGATCCAGAGATGAGTTCCCTTTTTTACAGTTTTAACGTTTTCTTACCTGTGACTCCCTTTAAAATCACACTCATAAATTCCTGACACAGTCTTAAATACTTTCTTTTCCACATCCTCACACCCTCTTTAATTCTTGGTATCATTTGATACTTTAGACAAATCTTCAGGAATCTGTACTCATAACATCTGAGAGTCTTAGATTGTTTAACATCATTGAGATTCCCAAAGTTCTTTTCCTAGCCTTCATATTTTCTTTTCAGGGATCCTCTTTCTTGTTAAACTGTAAAATAAATGCAATTACCTGTAACTCAAAAAAGTGATGCCCAGTAAATGAAATTCTGTAGATAATGTTCATTGCACAGATTCTGGTATACATAGTGCATTCATGGTGAATATTAACTCTCATTATTATTGCAGATATTATTAATAGTAATCATTCTTGGAATTATTTCTGAAGCTCCATTATCCTTCTAAAGTCCCAACTATAGATTTTCTGGGTTTTGCTCACCACACCTGAAAACGTATTTGTGGAGTCAAACTTACTAAAAATAGCTATGTATAAAATGTCCACATTTATGTGTTCATAAATTTTGAGACTTCTTTCCATTCCTTTACATGGCCTGTACCTTTTTCTTTTTTCCTTTTGTTTACTAAAGCCGTAATAAATCTATACCTAATAAATCTAATAAATTCAATTGGAAAAATACATTGTATTTACTAAAGCACTCTGGAATTTTTTTAAGTGAAAAGAAAATAGTTTGTTGTGAATTACTAACATAAAAGAGAATGAAGGTAGCTGGATATTTCACAAGAGTGTCATGTCCCTGACTTAATAGCACAGAAAGCCATTGTTGCTAGAATATGCCTTGTGTTCTCAGAGGGAATATCTATTTTAATACCATATGGGCCCCAATTTATAGAAATGTTCTAAAGGACATTTAGATAACAATTTTGTGGTTTTGAAATATTTTCCATCAATACAGTTTTAAATTCGGTTTGCTAATTTCTCATCATTTGAGAAATTAATTGGCTTGATATCTAACGCAATCGGAATGAGTAGTGCTACATTCTGGATATAAAAACATGCATATTTGAACTATTAAGGATTAATTCATTAAAGATATATTTGTGATGCAAGTTATGTACTCCGAACTGAGCTGCTCACTAGGAATCTATTGACAGACATGAATCCTTTTTCATGTAGCAAAATTTACAGTCTGTTGAAGAAGACATATCAATGACAGTACAGAGTAATCCGTTACATATAGATATTCTGAAAGCAAATAAAACTCAAGTTTACAGAGTCATAACAATATTCCCTAAGACATAATGTAAGGTGATTTCTAATACACAAGAGAAAAATAGCTGAGTGAACTATTATCTATGTAGTTAATACTCCTGTGGGCAACATTATGCTAGTGATGCTAAAACTCTTAACTATCAGAATAAAAACAACCAAACAAACCATGAATCAGTTCAAAGCTTTCAACCATACTAGTATCTCAAGAAATAATTAATGTACTTCAGACATCCAATTAATCACTCTAAAAATGTTTCTAGGGTATGAATTCAAACCCTAAACAAATTTAAAGAATCATTTGTGAAATATAATTAAAGAAACTCAAAGCTCATTTTGTAGTTGCGCTATCCCAATCCTAAGAATTATCATTCCTTCAAGAAGTTTTTGTTTTGGTTATTGGAAAATGGCAATAGAAGAGAAGTGCTGGCAATTGTAGTTACTGGGATGTCACCACTTCTAGTGGTGTCAGCTCTATCTCTCCCTCTCTCTCTATATATATATATCCTAATGTAATATATATGATAAAAATATACATATATATAATATAAATATAAAATAAAATTTGATATAATATATTCTAATATAATATATTCTAATCACTGTGTCTATTCAAATTTATGTATTATTATATATCTACTATTATTTTTCTGTCCATATATACAAATTGTGTATGTATGTATGTATTTAAGCTAAAAACAACCCCTACTGATAGCCCCAATGCTAATTCAATAGAATACAATTTATTCCAGTCTTCTCCTTTCTTCTCTGTAACTTCACTGTTCAACAGTGAGAAACTTGGCTTTAGCCGTTCACCATCCACCACGCATTTACTTGTTAGTTCAACCCCATTATACATGGAAAAGAGTTTCAGAGTTATTAACCCATGTCACTTTAAGAAATAGTTTTAGCAACCAGGATAGTGTTTATTTACAGCTTGTTTTGTCTTTAATTGTACAGTTTGCAGTGAAAATATAATTCAAAGGTACTTGAATCAGTTCCTGATTTTACGCATCTCATCAGTGAAGTTATTTGTAATAGAATCAGAAGCTTTTGTCTAAGTCTGTAAGTCTGCATTCTTTGCTGAGGTCTTTGAACAACCTCTGGTTGTGTGTGTGTGTGTGCGCATGTGTGTGTGTGTGAATGTGTGTGTGTGTGCTTGTAAGTTGTATACATTGAAGTTTCTGCCTTATAATATACAGTTCTACAGATTTTTCCATAGTAATAGAGTTAAAGGTTCACCACCTCAGAACCATTAGGGAATAGTTTCATTATCCCCAAAATTAGTGTGTATGTCCTCTTAGTCAGCTACACTTTACAATTCTCTCTGGTAACCATTGATTTTTTTCCTATATATATAATTTTACCCTTTTAGTAATGTCATATGAATTAATAACTGTAACATATAGCCCTTTGGGCCTTTCATCTTTCTTTTAGCAAAATAGATGTAATGTTTCTGTAATGAATCTAAAATGATTTCAGATAAAATCTTAGATTAATTTTGTTAAGATTCATTTTCCATTTTTTGTAATATATGGAAATGTACAATTGTTCCAGCACTATTTGTTGAATTTATTGAGAAAATACTCATTCTCTACTTGAAACAACTTTGCATTTTTGTGAATAATGAATTGACCATATTTGTATGTGTTTATTTTGGAGCTATCTATTCCATTTCATTGACCTATACCTATCATTTACCAGTACTATGCTGTGTTGTTTATTGCCGCTTTATGGTAATTCTTAAAATTAGGCAATATAATTTCTCTGATTTTATCCTTTTGTTTTCAGAATTGTACTAATTATTACAGTATTCTGACCATGTACATTTTAGTATTAATTTGACCATCTTTCCAAGATTTTCATTATGATTGCATTTAATATGTAGATAAATTTGGAAAAAATTGGCTTTTTTTTTTTTTTTTTTCACAGATGGAGTCTCGCTCTGTCACCCAGGCTCCAGGCTGGAATGCAGTGGTGCCATCTTGGCTCACTGCAACCTCTGACTCCCAGGTTCAAGCAATTCTCCTGCCTCAGCCTCCTGAGTAGCTGAGATTACAGGCGCCTGCCACCACATGTGACTAATTTTTGTATTTTTAGTAGAGATGAGTTTTCACCATGTTGGCCAGGCTGGTCTCAAACTCCTGACCTCAGGTGATCTTCCTGCCTCAGCCTCCCAAAGTGCTGGGATTACAGGTGTGAGCCACTGTGCCTGGCCAGAATTGGCATTTAAAAAATATGGAGTCTTCCAATCCATGTACAAGTTTAAATTTATTTCAATAATCTGATATCATTCATTAGTGTTTTGTCATTTACAGCATACAGATTGTGTGCTTTTTGTTAGATCTATAATTTCAGTTTTGAATTTTAAATGAAAATAATTTTTAAATTTATTTTTTATTCATTTAGTGCTAATACCTTTTTAATTTCAATTTTAGTTGTTCATTACTGGCATATAAGAATACAATTGATTAAAGGATCAACTGACTTTGTACTTTGACTTTTACATACATGCTTTCTATTACGTAGAAAGCATATATATTTTGGCTCACCAAATGCTGATACAATCTTATGATCTTTTCGTACACAAAAAAGATTATAAATTTTTATTTTTCATAACAAGATTTTAAGAGATGAAAATAGTGAAGTTTGTCCAACTGTATTCATTTTATTGACACATTAATAGAATTGACACATTAATATTAATTGTTTATTCAAAAAGTGGAGGGCATAGACATAGTGGTATCAGAAGACAGTCATATAATAATTCTGAAAATAGTAAAAGCACAGTATAACTAATAGCACAGTAAAACTTTAGTTAAAGTATTACATAACTTTTCTAACATAGTTATCCATATACGCAAATATAAATGAAAGTAAAAATAGTAAATTTGAGCCACAAAATGTATCACACAGAATATTTTAATGATTAAATGCTATTTTGTAGCAGCTGAAATTCTATTAAGTAAAAAAATTGTGTTAAAAAATTCAATTGAATCAGAAAACTGTATCTCGATGCTCAAAACAGTAAGTTTCAGAAGATTTTAATATTAAAGAAACTATATTTTCTAATAGATATGATGTGATATGAACATATAATTGGTATCTAGTGGCATTTATACAAGTAATTATTCATGATCATGGATTTATTCAAAGCTATTTAGTTGACTATCAGTGTTCTAAATGCTAATGTAAATTTTTTTTTTAAGTTTGTAATATTGGAATAGCAATGGTATTTGTTTTCAGGGGCACAAACTAGCTAAATGAACATAAATGCATCACTCAAATTTCAAAAATAAATTTTCTTATATGTAAAATGGAACAACTTGATCATGTCTTATGTTTCTAAAAGAGTTACTGTGAAGGTGAGAAATGTATTAAGAGTAGCTATAAATATAAAAATACATATTTAATTCAAGAATTATATGGTAAGATACAATTTTGCAGCATTAACTAATGTGGATCTATGTATTGTCTTGTCTGTGTTATCTTTTACTTCTCCCTTTATATATTGTGCTGTCTTCCAACATTCCAACTACAGCTTGGGCTACATTCTGCAGAGAGGTTAGGGCATAACTCAAAATAAACCCAGAGGCAAGCAAACAAAAAAAAAATCAAGCTGTACTGTGGCTTTCTAGCTTCCAAAGTCAAGGGCCTCCATTAAATAGCAGTTTTGATAGAACACTTGCCTAACCTCGTCTTGTTGATTTTCTTTTTCTTTCCTGTGAGTTGAGAAAGGAATAAAATTGGAAATAAACCTGAAGACTTTAGTTCTGAAATGAGCCTCAGAACAATCCTAACACCCTAGTCTTCTCAGAACAAAAATGTGAAGGTGGTATTGATAAAACCATGGATAAGTTTGGGTACTGAGAAATTGAACAAACCTGTGCCTTATTTCTCAGATGGGACTTGACAAGGAAGATAATTTCCTATCTCCCTCCAATCAATGCGGTGTATTATCAGCAGATTAGATTTGGCTGTAAATTGTATTTGAAGCATCCCATTAAGTATTTTCTGCGTCCCCTAACTCTAGAAAATAGCTAAATTCTTCTCCTTTTTAAAGAAATATTTACACAATTATTAAGAAGTAAAGGAGAACCCAAAGATAGAATGAACGGTATGAATAATTTTTAACAAACGCCCACTTAGACAGACATCAACCAATGATGGATGACTCCTTGTTTTGTATGGTTAAAATGAGGAGATAATAAAATTTGTAAAATCCTATCTTATTTGTGATTGGATTTCAAAAAAAGTCACAGTTATTTCCCATAAAAAGAGTTTTGGTTTTTTTGTTTGTTTGTTTGTTTGTTTTTTAAACAATGCTCAACATGCTCTAAGAGATGGAGAATAATCAGAACAAATCTCACAGGGAATATATATTAGCCAAATAGTACATGAGCTCTAATTTTCTTTAGAGTCAAATTATCAAGGTCTAGTTGTTCAAGTTTCAATTTTTCTTAGAGGCAAATAATTAAAGCCTGTTTGCTCAATTAGGATGGAGGCAGACCCCTGTGGATATAAAGTCTGATAGATCTGAGAAGTATCTTTCTATGAAAGGTCTTGGAAGACACGGTTTGATGAACAAAATCGACATCTTCAAGGATACACAAGGTTCCTTGAGACTAATGAATGGTGCCAGGTTTGGCAAGCAAGTCTTCAGCAAATAGCTCAAAGGCTGGCAGTATGTAGCCTTAATACAGCCTACGAGCTCAATATGTCTGTCAAATCTTGGGCTTGTATGTGTTTTGGTGTTCAGTAGCTCAGGCCAATAACAAACACATGTGTTCTGTCAAGGTGTGACATATATTCTCGTGAAAAGAGGGATCACAATCCATAGTTTTATCATGGCAAAATTTGTGTTCCTCATGTAGCAAATTATGTAAGTGTTTGGAATCATTTAAAAGTTATGCTACACTCCTGGCTTTAATTTCATAACACCTGAAATTTAGATGCCAATCTAAAATAAGAAAAAAAGAGGGAAGGAAATTCTGAATTGACTAAGATATTGTGAAATCAACAAAGATGGTATTTTCTGCCATCAAGTTGATTAGACACTTTAGATAGAAATTTAATGATTTTGTAGAATAATAATCTTTCTTTATATTTGATACTCATCAATATGGATATAAACATCTCCATACAAATAATAACAAAGATGCAATTAACACTAAAAAAAATTATAGTTCCAAAGAATGTGAAAATGATAATTTATAAAATTGTCACATTTATAATATCTTAAAATAATAGAAAATATATATAAATGTGGATAAGTAAATAGGTCAGTATTCAGATAGATATATAAAAATACAAATAAATGTGAGTTTTATTTTAAATGTCAAGTAATTTTGATGCAAGATGGTTATATTTATTTATTTAGACAGAATCTTGCTCTGTCACCCAGCTGGAGTGCAGTAGTGTGATCTCAGATCACTGCAACCTCCGTCTCCAAGCTTCAAGTGACTTCTTGCCTCTGTCTCCCTAGCAGCTGGGACTACAGGTACACGCCACCATGCCATGCTAATTTTTTGTATGTTTAGTAGAATTGGGGTTTCACCATGTTGGCCAGGCTGGTCTTGAACTCCTGATCTCTGGTGATCCACCTACCTCAGCTTCTCAAAGTGCTGGGACTACAGGCATGAGCCACGATGCCTGGCAGGATGCAAGATGATTATATTCTTACCAAAATTTGAATATTTGCCATAATGTATAATTACTAATATTTCATAGTGTTAGAAAAACAGGTTTGTATTTTACCATCATTTAAATGATGGTAATATTTACTTAATAAGCCTACTGAAAGTTCTCATATATTTTCAAAATCGATCTCACATTTAAATGTCAACATAAACTGAATAACACCTTGACTTTGAAAGCTTTTAAGTGTCTGAATATCACTAGGTTTTTGAAGCAATTGTTGTACTGATATTTACTGCACACATGATACTGTGTCCCTATACTGTGCGCATGATAATTGTAGAGAATTACTCACAAAGCCTATGCATGTAGTTTTGACTTAAATATATTCATTTGACTCAAATATTTAAATTTGTTTGATGTCAGTTGAAGCAGAGATTACCTGCATTAAGATGGAAGTGAATTCACTCTAATAGGGAAAGTCGAGGGTCTTTACAATTTGTATTCATAATTAGTAACTTAAAAGAAGACTAGTAATTTCTATCGTCCTTATTTACCTCACTGAGGATACTAAAGTCAAAATCACACCTTCTATCCTCTTACACCAGTGGAGTATTCCAAGCTTGTGACTCATGGAAGAGTCCCAGGAGAGTAAATAATATTAACTTTAATAAATCTAGCTAGACAGGTAGATAGGCAGATGATGTCATTATATTGATTATTATATTGTTGTTATATCAATATAAAGCTAATATATTTATGCCAGAGGTAGTACTTTTTGATTTATTTTTTAATCTTTTTAAAAATCTCATCTCTGAAATAATTCAATGACTTCAATATGTTTTGCAACTTTAATGTTCAATAATTTGCTTAGTATTATTTGATGAAGGAGTTTGAGAAAAATCAGTTTTGTCAGTGGGAATTAAAATCTTCATTTAAGGAGGTGATATTTTTCACAAAAATGATATCTGCTTGAGATAATGAAAAAGCAACAATCCTAGAACTGGCTATAACTGGATTTAACTTCCAGCACTCACAACACTTTTCAGCTATGATAATTCAGGCAGCCTACTCCATAAACGTGAGGGTTCTCATACATAAATTTATATCAGATGTTAATTGTGGGAAATTACAAGGAATGCATAAAAATATTTAGCCCAATAAATCATTCATGATAGGTAGTCAGTAAGTGTCAACTATTATCATAGGGTCAGAGCATAGAGATTAAATATGTCAAACAGTGTCTCAGTCTGGGCTTTCAACAAATAGATATTGAGCAAATTGAGCAGATCTATCAATACCTGTATTAACAGCCAATACTATTTTAGGGGTCTTTAAAAATATACAGTAAATTTATAAGACGCAAGACTTAATCTGCAGTATACATAACAGCATGTGAATTATGTTGTTAGGGATCTCCCCTTCTCCCTCAAAGGTAAGGTTGGGAGAATTTAATAGCTCTATTAAGTGTTTTGAGCTCCTTGGAGAAATGAGGCCGCAGAAATACAAAAGGTTATTTTCACATGCATCACTGAAATATCATAGGTACCCATTAAATAGTATTTTGGTTAGCCTTCTATCACTGTAGGATGATGGTGGAATTGATTTTTCTACATGAATGTATGCCTGGTGCAACATGGGCTACAAGGTAAAAAAGTTAAACTTCAAAGCCAAAGAAGGTTTTTCCCGAGTAATGAAGAGCTTTTGAATGCTCACATACCCTAGAGTAATGAACAGCTTTGATCAGGCTCTGAATCACATGTCCAAACAATCAGGTTCTAATAATTGCTGCTTCCTTTTATGTAATGGCCAGATTGAACACTTCAAAGACATATCTACCTTGACGGATAAATTCATTGACTGAAAATTGCTGGGAGCTTTACAAAGGTTATTGAAAGAGCGCCAGCTAATCAAGTGACCACTTAGAGCAATATTCCCTTGCAACATACATAAGTTTAAATTTCTCTTAACCCATTAGCAATGTATTGGTAGTTGGTTTTTCAATTTGTATGTACTTTGCTATGATATAAAAAGTGACACTTTCATTATGAAAACTTCTTAAACCAGCCACTGGTAAATAATAGTAACTATGTTTAAAATTATTTGGATAGTTGTTGGGAAAAACACACAATTGTTCTTTATATTTATACATTTTATAAACTATATAAAATTGTATATTAAAATATACAAAATTATCTAGGCATGGTGTCACATGCCTGTAATCCCAGTTACTCAGGAGGGTGAGGCAGAAGAATCACTTGAACCCAGGAGGAGGAGGTTGTGGTGAGCCTGGATTGTGCCATTGTACTCCAGCCTGGGTAAGCAGAGCAAAACTGGGTCTAATATATACATATATATATATGACATATACATATCATATATTGCACTGTGCACCTGGAAAAGCTGCAGACACTCAACACCAGGTATATATATACCGTCTTTATATGAAGGTATGTCTATGCATACCTTGAATAAAGTGATATCTCTCTACTTTGGAAAACCTCAAAAGAAATTCTGTTTTGGCTTTATAAATCTACAGTTTTACATACTACCATTTTTACTTTACTCAGTGTTGGTTTATATATTTAGTCTGATTTTATGCTGCTGATAAAGATATATCTGAGTCTGGGCAATTTATAAAAGAAAAAGCTTTAATGGACTCACAGTTCTACATGGCTAGGGGGAACTCAAAATCATGGCAGAAGGTGAAAGGCACATTTCACATGGTGGAAGACAAGAGAAGAGAACTTGTGCAGGGCAACTCTGCTTTATAAAACTATCAGACCTTATGAGATTTATTCACTATCATGAAAATAGCATGGGAAATTTTCACTCCCATGATTCAATTATGTTCCACTGGATCCTTCCCACAACATGTGGGAATTATGAGAAGTGCAATTCAAAATAAGATTTGGGTGGGGACAAAGCCAACACGTATCATTTTGCCATGGCCCCTCCCAAGTCTCGTATCCTCACATTTCAAAATCAATCTTGTCTTCCCAACAGTCCCCCAAAGTCTTAACTCATTCAGCATTAACTCAAAAGTCCACAGTCTAAAGTCTCATCTTAGACAAAGCAAGTCTTCTGCCTATGAGTCTGTAAAATGAAAAGCAAGTAAGTTACTTCCTAGATACAGTAAGACTACAGGCATTGGGTAAATACAGCCATCCAAATGCAAGAAATTGGCCTAAATGAAAGGGGCTACAGGTCCAATGCAAGTCCAAAATCCAACAGGGTAGTCAAATCTTAGAGCTCCAAAATGATCTCCTTTGTTTCCATGTCTCACATCCACATAATGCTGATGCAATGGGTGGATTCCCATGGTCTCGGGCAGGTCTACCCATGTGGCTTTGCAGAGTAGAAGCCTCCCTTATGCGACTTTCATGGGCTGCTGTTGAGTGTCTGTGCCTTTTCCAGGTGCACAGTGCAAGCTGTCAGTGGATCTACCATTCTGGGGTCTGCAGGATAGTGGCCCTCTTCTTATAGCTCCACTAGGCAGTGCCCCAATGGGAACTATTTTGTGGGTGCCCACCTCACATTTCCCTTCCACACTGCCCTAGCAGAGATTATCCATGAGTGCCTCACCGCTGTGGCAAACTTCTGCCTGGATATCCAGTGTTTCCATACATCTTCTGAAATCTAGGCAGAAGTTCCTAAACCTTAATTCTTGACTTCTGTGCACCTGCAAGTTCAATACAACTTAGAAGCTTCCAAAATTTGTGTCTTGCACTCTGAATTCATGACCCAAGTGTACATGGGCCTGGAGAGGCTGGGGTGCAGGGTACCAAGTCCCTAGACTGCCTGCAGCAGAGGAACCCTGGGCCCGGCCCACAAAACCATTTTTTCCTCCTAGGTCTCCATGCCTGTAATGGGAGGGGCTGCCATGAAGACCTCTTACATGTCCTGGAGGCATTTTTCCCATTGTTTTGTTGACTGACATTCAGCCCTCATTACTTACAAAAATTTCTGCAGCCAGCTTGATTTGTCAGAAAATGGGATTTCATTTCTATCAAATT